AGCGTAATTTACGTTTGTCGATTCGCGAAGCTTTTACCGCGACGTTCGTATATCTTAGCATCCGATTACAACTATGCCGAGTCGCTAGTATTACGTGAACTTCAACGGGCACACTTCTCTGAAGAAATTACAAGATTACATTCGAATAGAGCTCGTAGTCGCGCCTTTCAACGCCTTAAGCCATTTTTACAGGATGGGATTGTAAGGGTAGGTGGACGCTTGTCCAACTCGCAGTTGAGTTTCGACCAACGGCACCCTATAGTTTTACCGCGCAAAGACCATATCATGAATTTATTAGTCGATTACCATCATAAATTGAATTCGCACGCTGGCCCCGACTTGCTGATGTCGATCTTGCGTCAGAATTATTGGATTCTTTCTACACGTAGTTTAATACGCAATCGGGTGCACAGATGTATAGCTTGCTTTCGGGCACGCCCCAAGCCGTCATTTCCGGCAATGGCGGAACTTAGATCTTGTAGAGTAATACGATCAGTAAAGCCCTTTACGCACACCGGCTCTGATTTCGCTGGTCCATTTAAGGTCACGCTCACTCACGGGCGTGGTATAAGATCCACAAAGGCTTACGTCTGCATTCGTCGTATGTCTAACTACTCGAGCGGTGCATATAGAACTCGTTGGTGATCTAAGCACAGCAGGCTTTATGGGTGCATTTAAAAGATTTCTATCCCGCCGTGGCCCTGTAAGTAAATTATATTCGGATAACGGTACGAACTACGTCGGTGCAAAACGTATTTTATCAGAACTACATGAGCTCTTAGCTATCAAGTATTATAATTCGGAGTTCGCTCACATTCTAGCCGAGAACCGCATTAAGTGGTCTCTGAACGTCCCAGCCGCGAGTCTTTTTGGGGGCAATTGGGAGACTAATATTAAGAGTCTAAAGAGTCACTTATACCGAGTAATAGGAGATCAAATTTTGTCCTTCGAAGAGCTAAGTACGGTGCTCGCTCAAATCGAATGCGTAATGAATAGCCGCCCACTTTGTCGTACTTTGTCTAGTGACCCCTCGGAACCGCTGGCTCTAACTCCAGCACATTTTTTGAATTTAACGCCTTTAAAGTATTTGCTCGCCGCAGATATGGATGAGAACAGACTTAGCATTTCCGCACGCCACAAATTATTAGACCGGTTAGTGCAATCGTTTTGGAAACGATGGAGGATGGAATACTTGCATACTTTGCAGTCTCGGCAAAAATGGAACACAGCAACTGAGCCTTTAGCTATAGGAACTGTAGTTGTGCTCACCAAAGAGAATACGCCGCCTCTCCATTGGCCGTTAGGAATTGTCGAAGAGGTCTTTCCCGGTTCTGACGGAGTAATTAGGGTAGCTCGCGTTAAGACCACGGTTGGGTCTTACCTGCGTCCTGTTGTCCGTTTGTGCCCCTTGCGTCTTCCATAATTTAAGTTAGCTTTCTAGATTAGAAATTGTAGTTGAATTTAGGTAATCTTAGCGTTAGTTAGTTATTTGTTAGTTTGATCTTAGCTCTAGTTGTTTTAGTTATTTTTTGAAGGAGATCCTTCAAGGGCGGGGGAGATGGTTGCGCGGAAAACCATTCGTATTTAATTTTTTTGACGGTAGGCTGCCAAATCGTTTATCCCTTTCCAAAACGATATCATTCATACCCTCCTATCGACACATCGGGGTGGTGGGGTGGGAGGAGAAAGATGATTCTAGAATATCACGTAATGATCGCAACCGAAGGTATAAAGGGCACGCGCGACCGACGCGCAGGCCTCTTCTTCCCGCCGCGCTCGTCGTTGAAACAACACCGCTTCTCTCCCGACGTATCTCTGGGGCCCCAGAGTGTCTGTCCAGAAGAAGTTCCAGAAGTCGCAGCTATAGTGCCCAACAGCATAGAAGAAACACCCCGGTGAGTGAATATTCCTAATAATATTGCCTGCTTGATATAATTGCGTTTTAAACCGCTCCGATTTTGTTTTCTCCTAATCAAGCAGGATTCCTTTCATCGATTTGGCAAATATAGTTCGTTTTAGGGAAGAGCGAGTGCATTGTACCGCGCGCTATAGTCGTCGTTATATAAGCATAGAAGCATTTTGTAGATACAGTCCACTTAGATTAATATCTCGCGTAATAGGTTTAAGGTTCGACCGGGGAATTCGACTTCGGCGACCTTAGGCTCGTCGCTACACCAAGTACCTTTGATATATTGTTTTTAAAGAAAAGTCGATTTTTTCTATCTTATTTCACTGTCTTGAACACTATGACCAAAAATGAATGATTTCTATTGGTTTTTTGTTGTATTATTATTATACACTAACTGTTCTGATAGATAAAAAGTAAACAGTATGAATAGCTTTAGCCGGTTTTATTTAAAAAATTCGCAAATTATGATTTCTTAAATTTATGTGAACATTACACATTGAATAAAACTTAATTTACGGATTCTATCGCGTTTATTTAACTGATTTTACTTATTTTTAATTCCCGACGTTTAGGGTGCTTAACAGCACCCATGGTCACGGGGGGACTGACATGTTTGACGTCTCAATGTCATTGTTAGCCCGGCTACCTTCAGTTTTTGAATATTAATTTTTTTGAATATTATTTTTTTTTAATTTTGGTCCGATATAGCGTTTTTTTTAGTTTGTTTATTTTCGTAAATCAGACCAAAAATTAATATTCAAAAACTAAAGGTAGCCGGGCTAACAATGACATTGGGACGTCAAACATCTCAGTCCCCCCCCCCGTGACCATGGGTGCTGTAAAGCACCCGAAACGTCGGGAATTAAAAATAAGTAAAATCAGTTAAATAAACGCGATAGAATCCGTAAATTTAGTTTTATTCAAATTCGCAAAATTAATTTATTTGTGAAAAAGATGCAAAAAATATTATTTAAGCGAATTTCAAACCTCTTGGGTATGAAAAAAAATTATGAATGTATGGGTGACCAATAATTTTACAATAATGTCGGTTTCGTGTAGATTTTATAATGGTATAATTCATAAATGTATCTTCCATAAATAGTGACTTATTGCCATTAATGTAGAAAAGGAGAAAATTTGACTAAGTAACAAAATTTGTAATATGGGAACATTTTTCAAATTGAATTGTCTCTGATCATTGGGAATTAATAAAAACACATCAGGAGTTGATTATACATGAAAACAGCTCTTTTTAAACAAATTAAAACCAAATTAAGTATTAAAAATTAACTTATTTAAATGTAATAAAATAACCAATTTAAATGTTAAAATGGTTACTTTACTAGCGTGAAATGGGTCGTGTGACCTTCATATTTGCTACCTGCTGTCTTTTGTGTTAGACAAAGAGGGGTCTGAATTGGGTAAGTAGGAGAGAGAAGAGCTAAATGTAAAAGAGAACTTAGTGCGTCACTCGACTTGCTCGACTTCGCATGTATTTATTTTCTCCGTTTGCAATTATTTAAATCAGTGTTAAAACAACCACTGGGCTATTTTACCGGACTATTCGTTTTGCTTACTGATTTGGACTTGTTTTGCGTTTGGTGACATTTGCGACGATTTGGCTTGTTTCTGGACTAAACTGAACTTTTGTGTACCTATCAAAATGCCACGTCATCAGTACACGGCACAAAAATATGCAAACATGCATTTTATTTATGGAGAATGCAGAGGCAACGCAAATGCAGCCGCAGCTCTTTGTATGGAGAGGTACCCTAATGCGCGCCACCCAGACTACCGCGTATTTATAAGTATCCAGGGTTGTTACTCCGAAGGAAGAATGCCGGGTAGTGGTGTCGGTGGTGCTAGCGCTAGAAGAATCGCTCGTCCTGATGTAGAAGACGTGGTGCTTGAGGTGATTGAAAACGATCCTTCAACCTCTACGCGAGCAATAGCTCGACGCACAGGTATTGGAAAATCGACCGTACACGATATTTTAAAGAAAAACGAATTCCACTCTTACCACGTCACACGCGTGCAAACTCTCAAACCAAGAGATTGTCTCTCAAGAGTTCGTTTTTGCCGGCAAATGCTGACAAAGGTGGAAGAAGACCCGCAATTTTTTAATAAAATTTTGTGGAGCGATGAGTCAACGCTTAAAAGAGACGGTTACTTAAATTTACATATGTACATAGCCTGGAAGCAGAAAGTCCCCATCGTATGCGTGAAAACAGGTCACAATACCAATATAAAATACATTATTGGACCGGAATATTAAATGGTATGATATTTGGCCCATTTGAATTACCGTGGAATTTAACGGGGCAAAGTTATTTGTAGTTTCTTCAAAATGATCTCCCCAATTTATTACAAGAGGTTCCCGAGGAGCTGAGGGAATCGTATTGGCTGCAAAATGACGGTTGTCCTGCGTATTATGCTGTTGCGGTTCGTGCATATTTAAATAGCAGATACCCAATAAGATGGATCGGACGTCTAGGGCCAATTTTGTGGCCTCCATGTTCACCGGATCTAAATCCATTGGATTATTTCTACTGGGACTGTCTGAAAGAGAAGTATACTGTAAGCCTGTGCGGTCTTTGGACGAACTACGCAGTCGTGTCAGAGCAGCCAAATCAAAAACATGCGAGCTACGGTACACAAGACTGCTCATAAGATCATTTATCCGAAGATGTAGGGCATGCATAAGAGTGGGAGGCAAACAATTTGAACATTTGTTGTAAATTAATGAAAAATAAAATATTTTAATTTTAAAGTTTTTTATTAATCCCCAATTATCAGACACAATTCAATTTAATAAATGTTCCCGTATTACAAATTTTGTTACTTAGTCAAATTTTCTCCTTTTCTACATCAAAAGCAATAAGTCACTATTTATACTGTTACGAGCTTAGGGTTCGTGACAATAAAAATTGCCGATTGAATTACCAAAATTAACACTTTAATTCACTTTACACTAATTAAACTTAAAACACTAATAATTAATCACACTTCTACCGCATCGCGTTATTTACAGCCCGAAGCCCTACGTACAATCGGGAAACATTCCTTTCTTACTTCCGCTTCGGCTGGGACGATGATATGCGAGGAAGTCCGCGTATCAGTGAGCGCGCGCTTCATCTCATTTAAGATGACGGAGCGTCAAGCCCATAGCCTCCTAAGCGTATTAGAGCTGCATGCCCGCGTCCTGAAGGGATACGCGTGGCGAACGGAGTCTGATATATACGACGCGTGGATCCACGAGCGTAGAATTGACCTTTCCGCTCAGGTTGACGATCTCACGCGATGGTTCGCGACTGACTTAAGACATATTATGTTGTGCAACGCCAATTTATCAACTATGGTTGGTCACCTCATTGTTTTATTACTAACCAAGCGACTCTCATCGTCGATGGTTGCTGGTCTCCACGCTAGTAAGAAAGACCATGAAGACATTCATTCATTTCTAGTAAGATACGTTTTCATGACCGCACTGACACCTGATGAACAGGCTCTGGCCGAGCGTTTATTAGACGATGTCGCTCGTGAGCCAGAGAAGATTTAAGCGACACTGCATAAAGAGGTTAGCACTGACTCACCTTGCATGAGATTGAAACTCGCTGAGGAAGACGTAGATCTAGCCGCTACATGCGGGATCACGAACGTTGATCCCAACACCATAGACGATTATTATAACGGCGAAAAGATAGTTGTCAAACGTACCGTGGCAACGTCATCTTCGCAAGAGGAGGAGTCGCGTGTCAGCGACTCTGAGATTCTTCGCAAATACGACTTTGACGCTGACCAATCAACCTCCAGCTCAGGTGCGTGTCGTGAGCCGGAGACCAGCACTATGGATTCCGATCGCGACGATGAAGCAATAAGCGAGGTTACCAGATTGCTGAGACGAAGTTTCCATTCAATCGCGTCGTCGGATACATTATCAGGCGGGCCGTCTCTCGCAGACGGTTTCACGACACCAATTGTTACGAGCTTAGGGTTCGTGACAATAAAAATTGCCGATTGAATTACCAAAATTAACACTTTAATTCACTTTACACTAATTAAACTTAAAACACTAATAATTAATCACACTGATTCACTTTAATCCGCTCCGAAGCTTCGCTTGTCTCGCCAAATTCAATACTTCCCCGATCGCATCTTGCAACGCCTTTAAATACACATTATCACCGAAACATCCAGAATATTCAAGTAAATACGCGCGCCAATCGACAAGGCGTCGAAAGTTCGAGTGTCGGGCTTCTAGAAGCTTAGTTCTTCGTTTCGATATTAGATGGCGCTGTCGGTTGAAAGATTAGTGATGTTATTTTCTGGAAAGCTCCCCTCGCTCTCGTCCCCGACACTAGATGGCGCTAGTGCCGTCAACTTAGGCGCACAACAATACATTTTTGAATTATATCATTATAAAATCTACACAAAACCGACATTATTGTAAAATTATTGGTCACCCATCATTCATAATTTTTTTTCATACCCAAGGGGGTTTGAACTTCGCTTAAATAATATTTTTTGCATGTTTTTCAGAAATAAATTAATTTGCGGATTTTTAAATAAAAACTGCAAAAGCTATTCATACTGTTTACTTTTTATCTACCAGGAAGGTACTACTTGTGATATATTATGTTTCGTATTTTTTGCAGAACGGCCATATTTTTTTATTTTATTTTATTCATTTACAGAAGATGAAAGGAAAGCGATAGCGATTTATGATGGCCAAATGAAGAAGAAACCCAGACGATGAAGACGAAGAGTCGGAAATAGCAATTTACTCGGAATACGAAGACCAGCCATCCTTACAGCAAACCAGCTTGCTTAAATTAGAAACGTCATTGAAGTCCACGTGCCGAGAGGCGGACTCGTCATTTAGACGTAATCGATAAGACGCGAGATTTTTGAGTTGGTATGAGCGCAGATTACGAGATTGCAAACGATACAAACTTTCAATTATCCCGAACACCAAAGGTGGCTCAGTGATTCAACAGGTCCTGTGGAAACCTATGGAGACAGTAGTCTCTCATCAACAACAGGCTATAATTACAATAGGAGTAGTTACCTCACGTACAATACTCCCCTCCGGGCAGCGGTAGCCGCAAAAGTTATGTATTTACAGACTTTACGAAGAGAGTTGGAAGACGACGATGCCACCATTCGAAACTCATGGGCTTTTTATAGTTTTAACGAATACAGAGACGTCCCCGTCACCTGGATCGTAAACAGGAACGTCCTCATTAATACAGGCAATGAAGGGTTGATAAACTATGCACCCTTCAAAACACAGGTGACACCAAGAACTGACACCCATTTGGAGTACATAAACAAGTTTCTTGAGTGTTGATTGTGAAAGAATTAGCAAATAATCGAATTTGGATTAACTCACACGAAAGTTATAACAAATAAACAGATGCGTTTCCTAGCTTTTTAAAGAGTATATAATCCCAAATCCCTCCTCCTTCCAAGCCAGCATCCCGCTGCGCTCTCACACTAGCTAAAAAGCAAGTCCCGCCCGCTGTCTTCCTCAGAAACAAGGCAAACGCTCCCACACTAGGTAAAAAGCAAGTCCCGCCCGCTGTCTTCCTCAAAAACAAGGCAAACGCTCCCACGCTAGCTAAAAAGCAAGTCCCGCCCGCTGTCTTCTTCAAAAACAAAGCAAACGCTCCCACACTAGGTAAAAAGCAAGTCCCGCCCGCTGTCTTCCTCAGAAACTAGGCAAACGTTCCCACACTAGCTAAAAAGCAAGTCCCGCCCGCTGTCTTCCGCAGAAACAAGGCAAAATTTACAAAGCTCTCTAAAACCTGCTGCGACGCAGGTACTAAGTATGATCAAGCCACCAACAACGGTGAAGCTATTAAAATTATCCTTGCTTCCATCGAAGATTTTCGTAGCCTTACTAGGCTTTTTACGACCGAGCGTGCGTCCTTCCACACATACGCTCTTCTTAAAGAAAGTAAGGTCAGGGCTGTCCTCCGCGGAGTTCCTTTCGACTCGCAAACGAGGACATCCTGGAAGACTCAATCAAAAAAAATCGCAAGGTTTTCCCATTGAGGCTGTGCATAAGATGCACAGCAGCAAGGGCGAGAGATTCAATCTTGCCCTACTCATACTCTCAAACGTGCCGAAGGCGAAAACCATATTCCGGCAGGTACGCAGCGTATGCGGCTTGTCGCGAGTAAAGGTCGAGCCTCCCTACTTGATATGCACGCGTTGCCGCGTGATGCCTACAAAGTGAAGGGCGATACATAAACCTTTATAAGCGTCAATGTTCACATGTTTGTAATAAAGAAAACTGGCCTTCAAAATTTGTATAAAACATTGACCAACAGATTTGTAAGTTTTGCTGTATAAAGATGTATGAATGCGTGAAGTCCACGCTATGCTACGAGCCGTCGTGCCGCTGCCAGCCCGCCTTTCGGCAGCGAGAACAAGGCGAACAATGTAATAATGTCTTCCACACCGATTTCACTTACGGCGGCAAGTCTCAACGAAGACTATCTATCTACCCAGGATAGAATTATAGTGCCCAAGTGTTAACATTTAATATTCTTAGTCTTCTGACAGTTCTCTGAGTGATGAAGAAAATACAGTACAAAGCATGCAAAGTAACCGTTACTTATAATTCGGAAATACGCTACGTAAAACTTATTTGCGTATTAAATCAACAGCTAACACAAAGGTAGTAAATGAATTATTAAGCGAGACAGATGCAGAACATTTGGGACTGGATTTATCCAGGATATTCTTTAGAATATAAGACAAAATTCGAAATGAAAATCATGATATATTCCCGTTATTCGACCCGCCAAATTTATTAAAAGGAGTAAGAAATAATTTAATATCAAAAGAACTAAGGTATATCCAGAGCGACATTTTACAACACAACATTTAAAATTACTGTTGGAATTTGATGCAGGAGAAGATGAGTTAAGAATGTGTAATAAGTTTACAGAAATGCATGTTATGCCTGAAAAAAATCCCAAATGAAGGTGAATCACGCTCGCGCAGGTCAAGATTTTAGCCAACCAGAATCAGGAGCTTACTTATTTTGTGCAAGTAGGAATACACGTATAGGATATCTCGTTATCACTTATCTACTTGTATTCTCTCTTGTATCAAACATTTTATTGCTTCTTATTATTTTAAAAGTGCTCATAACATTTTATTTGTTTGCAGAAAATAAGTCACTGCCACAAGAATATGAAGATTGAAAAATTAATAAAACAGGAAAAGTATATCTACCTTAGATATACTTTTCCTGTTTTATCAATTTTTTGATTATTTTAATGTAGGTTCCTATAAGAAAACTTTTATTTTTTTTATGTTTGATAGTGCGTGAAACTAATGCTAACGTTATACGAGTACTTAACCTCTCAAGCGTCCGAAAGAAACCATGTGTCCATAAGCGAAAAGTGCTGGTAGCGCCCGAAGGACACCATGTGTCCGTAAGGAATCGATCTTCTTTTGTCTTTGAAATTCAATCTGCGTGGTGATTGGTTGTTCAAATTTTTCCTCATTCTCAAAGTTCAACTAATCATATTCATTCATTCATTTGTGATACACCAATCAAAATTAAGAAATAAAGGTAAAAAAAAAAACAAAATTTGAGTCAGACGTGACGTTCTTCTTTTAGCCGCCATTTTCAATTTCTGTGCAAAAACAAAGTGTTTCGAGTGGAAGAAAAATGTCCAAAACTTTCAAACGGTATGCGTTTATTTTATAAATTATATATCAAATTACTAGGAATTGAATACAAAATCGTTTTATCATATTTACTCAAGACACAAATTTCATTTCGATAGTAAAAAAACAGTGAAACTTTTTGGTGGCTGGAAAACTTGCAACGACGAAACTTTTATGACAAAAGCATTTTGAGTTTGGGAAAATAAGTAAACTTAATATAAATTGACTCAGGAACACATTTCTGGTATTAGTTTTTGATAAATCTCTTTCATTTTATAGAATTTGTTGATAAAATGCAAAAATACCTAAAATTTGAAAAAGTACCGTTGACAAAAAAAATATTTGCTATGGTGCACTTGTGAGAGCTCTTTTTACTATGAAATCTGGTTAATAATTGATATAAGAATTAGGTATACCATAAAGTATTTTCTTTGATAAAACAGTTTCAGAGATAAAATTATTTTTTAATTTTTTTAAGGATTTTTTTTCATATCGTCCGTTTTCTTTGTAAAATCGTGTTTATCTTATACAGAATGGGTCCCACATATATGCAATAAATGAAACCATATACTTGTTATCGCCTTTGCTGACGATATACAAAAAATGAACGTAATCGGTCCAGTAATTAGATCAAAAAGTAGAGTTTTAATTTTAAGCAAATTTGAACACTCTATAGAATTGGGTCACTAAGTCAATGATTCAATGAACTTGAATCCTTGAACATTAAAAAGCGACGTTGCCACGCAGTGCAAACTATTGGTATTGCGACATATCGACAGCGGTGTCTTTTGTCGGCGTGCCACCCGCGTGCAACGTTGTCACTCTTCCAAGGGGTCAAGGTACGTTGTCTAAACAGAGTGTTCACTTTTACTGAATTTATTTTATTATTTATTTTGTTTGAAAATTTCACTTTTTTATTTTACGAGTAAGTGTTGAAAAATTAAATATTAAATTAAAATATTTAATTTTTCTACACTTCTATGGACTAGTATTACTTGTGGTTTCATTTATTGCATATATGTGGGACCCATTCTGTATAAATAAACCGTTAAAGTTATGTCCATTTTTGCGACTTGACGCATAGTTTCTGAGATAAAACTAACTTTAAGTTTTTTTAAGACATAATTTTTTTCATCACCATTTCTCATTATGCCATCGTGTATATCTAAACCACACAAATATTTTAAGTCATTTACAGTTTTGCCCAACGACGCATAATTTCAGAGAAAAAATCAATTTTTAGTTCTTTTTTTTTTATGATGTTTTATCACTGCTGGCGCAAGGGCACGCATGTCTCGCTCCCGCTCACGCTCACGCTCATGGTCTGTGACGCCAGCGCCGCCACTTAAGAGCCGTCGCTCCTTACTCCTACAGAGCTCAGTAGAAAATATGCCTTTCAAGGAGCCTCAGCTGGATGAAGAGCCAAAACTATGGAAGCTACACATGTGAGTGATATAGTAATTAATTACAGTAACACATCTTCTGAATGCCATGTGTATCTGATGGTGTATCTAATGTGTATCTACTTTTTAGCACTTACCAAATTGAAAATGTTGTTTATCAGGAATGCAAGACAAATTCACCGTACTCCAAGAGGGTCATTATACGTTGGAAGGGCCGTAGATATTATCATGACCGCTGGAGGTAAACTGCGTGTCGGCCACAAGTTTCCACTAAGAAAATTTCAGAGGACTCTATTCAGTTAGTATTGATTGTTTAAAAGTAAAGTTACAGCCTATATACGTCCCACAGCTGGGCACAGGCCTCCCCTCATTTCTGAGAGGGATTTTAGGGCAAGGAAGTGTCCGCCGCGCTGCCCCAATGCGTGTTGGCGAACTTCACATGTCTTCGAAATATTTTTTATCCTATTCCTCAGACATGCAGGTTTCCTCACGATGTTTTCCTTCACCACCGAGCACGTGGTAAATCAGCACTTAAAATTGCAATTAACAATTTCCTTGGTGCCGCCGGGGATCGAACCTGGGTTACTCGCGTTCTGTTATATTTACGGCGAGCGTTAACCATCTGAGCTGCCACGGCTCATTGATTGTTTATATGAATATTAATATTTGAAATTTGCAATGCTTTTTGATCTAAAAACATTTTTTTGTTTTAGTGTTACGCCGTTGAAACGCGCCGCGTCGATGGACATTGACGAGGAAGAGAGCGAAACTCTAACTAAAAAAAATTTGGACCACGTTCGGAAATGGTTCAGTGAGTTGCAGTCGCTGGAATCTGTCGATCCAGTACCGTACTCCTGCAACACTCCGATGGCAATAGAGGCGGATACCAATGCGTCTTCTGGAGATATTAGTATTCAATGTGCATCGGGTGGCATATCGAACATTAATAATCTCCCAGCAGCATCGATATCTGCCTCTAGCGACAATGATGTTCGTCCATCATCTTCGGGGATGGACAAAAAATCCAGGCGTATTGTGGAAGTATTAGAAGAAGGCAGTGAATTTGACTCGGACTTTGATGACGAGTACAACATTGATGAATTCGCTGTCTCCGCTGGTGCTGGTCGAGACATTCCGGAAGACGACGAGCTAAATGAACCTGAGCGTAACATAGTAAATACTGTATCAAAAGCAATGGATGAAGCTATCGATCGTCAGGTTACCGTGTCGACCGATTTCGTCTGGCAAAGTAACTTTGATACGTTCGGTGGTGTACCCGAAGAGTTTTCGGGTCCCACCCCCGGACCTATCACTGATTATGATACGCCCTATGAAGCTTTTACGGATATTTGAAGTACAAGTTTCATGGAGTATATCGTGCAGGAAACCAATCGGTACGCAAGCCAGGAGATTGAGAAGCTGAGAATAGCAGGCAAACTGAAAGAGTCATCGTGTCTCCACCGGTGGACTCCTACCGATGTAGACGAGATGTACATCTTCTTTGCCATTTATGTATTCATGGGAATAGATATTCGGATATCTCAGCACGAATATTGGAAGACGACCGGCTATCTAGAAATGCCCAGATTCAGACAGCTTATGTCGTACAATCGTTATATTTTGCTTAGTAAATTCATTCACTTTGCAGACAATTCTGATAGAAGTCAGAATTTGCTTCAAAGTGAAGGAGTTGTCTATTCGGCGAAATTAGCGAAAAACGCGCCAGTCTTAAAACATTTAAATTCGGTTTTTTCAAAATTATACAACCTTCGTCAGGATGTATCTATCGACGAATCTTTGATTTTATTCAAGGGGCGATTGTCATGGGTCCAATAGATAAGGTCAAAGGCTTCACGTTTCAGTATAAAGTCATACGAATTATGTGAATCAAAGACTGGCTATCTGTGGAAATTTGATATTTACACGGGAAAGAAATCTGAGCACGATGATATCGTTGCTCCTATTGTTGGTTTGACAGACAAGTGATACTTGATTTGCTAAAAGGTCTCGAAAATCTTGGGCACCTTGTTACGATGGATAATTTTTACAATTGTGCAGCGTTGGTAAGGCACCTGAAGAGTTTGGAATGCGATTGCTAGTGGACATTGCGTCCAAATCGCAAACACGTACTGGTGGATGTCGCGAAGGCTCGAAGAATGTGGCGATGGGGACTATCATCGCTCGCCATTCTGGAGACGTTTCATGCATTGCATGGAAAGACTCCAAAATTGTGACGATTATATCTACCTACCACACCGACAAAACCGTCGTTGGCAAGAAGAAAGGAAGGGATATCTAGTAAAGCCAGTGGCTGTACTATATTACAACAATACGATGACGTACTTGTTGGAACGAAAGAGATGTGTGAAGTGGTACATGAAAATTTTTAAAAGATTGCTGAACGTCAGTGTACTCAATGCATTCATTTTGCTGACGGAGACAATGAGGCGTCGCGTTAAGCCCGAGTTGCTGCATCGAAGCTTTTGATCGATTGTTATGCGTACCGCATTGTAAAACCAAATATTTGCTTTAGGGTATCGGTCGGCACTAGGCAGATTTTTTAGCACTTTTTTTTGGGCAAGAGGTGTAAATCCTGTGTAATGTGTATGTATGTATGGATGTAAATAAGAAATAACTACTCCCATTTTCGATCTAAGCTGTTCGTACTATCCTTTGTGTACATATGCGCCTTTTTCCTGCTATTCTGCATAAATTGTTTTGGATATGGTATTTACAATGTAACGACGGGTTATTGGGTATGTTAAAAAAAATTGTATTTATTTTAATTTTTTTATGAAAGATTTTGTGATTCTAAGTAACAATTTTAAAAATCTTTTCTTAATTTCGGTATTGGTTAAGGTTTTATGATTTTTTTAACCATAAAACCATATCCAGAAACCCAAATTAGAAAAAAAAATGAAAACTGATACTTAAAATTACAAAATCTTACACAAAAAAAAATTAAAATAAATACAATTTTTTTAACATACCTACCCAATTTAGTTTGTTGGAATCTGCAACCCTCCTAAGGCGGTGCATAGTAGGGCACGGGGCATTTCTGAACTGGTTTAGAGAAATCCAAAAAGTGTTATTCTTTTTTCTTAAATGGTTGTGGTATCCTCGTATAAAATTGTAAATAGTATTAAATTGTTTAGATATAGTGTATTTTGATTTTATATTTTATTTTTATTATTATTTGTAATAAATGTGTTATTTTAAACCTGTACAAGGTCATTGTTTTATTTGAAACTAGAGTACGCCCGCGGCTTCACACGCAATCTATTCTGTTTTATCGCGTCTCACAATCACATTTATAATATAAGTGGGATATAAGCTATCTGTTTTATGAATTTCACTTGAATCCGTTCAGAATTTTTATCATGATCGAGGAACAAACACCCAAACATACAAATTTTCACATTTATAATATTAGTGGGATTAGTGCGATATTAATACCTAGATTCTGAATTACGGTAATTTTAGAGCAAAAATAAATATAAAAAATATCGTTAATAATCAGTATAAAATAAAAGAAAGTAAAAAAACCACAAATTAAAGAAAAATCTAATTTGGAAAAATTTGTTTTTAGAAAAAAATTGCTACTTGTAGTTTTGTTGCGGACGGTACTTTCGGGATGCATCTTATTTAGTTGTAAACGCCGGGCGGCCATTTTATTCCGCTTTCGAAATAAATTGTTTATTTGAAGTAACTACTTGTTATTATAGAATAAAATTATGCAAATTCGACAAACAATCTATCAAACTTTACGTTATTGTTTGTGTTTTGTGAAATGTGGCCTTGGATTTAACACAATTTGTGAATAAAGTGTTAGTGTCGGAACACAAAACAGAAGAAAAACGCAATGTTTTGAAAACAGAAAGTAATAATTCACTTACTATGTAAGTAACTATTACATTATTATTTATAAAACAGATAGGAAATTTAATGCCCTTTCAAATGGTACATAAACCTATCAAACGTTATTTCACCTATTGGAAAATATTTCGTTTTTTCTACACAAAACCAGAGAAATTTTATTTGTACTGGACATTACAGGACTTTGAACCCTCAAAGTATGGACGCTTGAAAGGTTAAGGACCCTGGTGTCAAACAATACTCACGATTAATATCCTGAAAGGACATAACACGAACTGAATTACTAATTTTGGGTTAGTACTTCTCGCAGGTACAATCCGGCAAGAACATACTCGGCGATTACTGGAAAAAGCATTGGTTATTTAATATTCCTTTCTTTGCACAATATATATCACGCAACCGTTTAAACCCAATACTGGGTTGAGTTCATTTTACATCTGAAGCAAATGAAGAAGACCGACTAGCCAAAATTCGTCCGATAGTAGATCGTTTAAACAATAGAATGAATGATATTTATTACCCATTAGCGTGGACGTCACCAGTTTAGAAAATATAATAAAAATAAGTATAAGTATGGGGTTAAGTTATACGTACTTGCAGAACCAGAGGGCTCAGTAATCATATTTCAAATATACAGTAGTGCAGGTGATGATAAGTCCGGAATAGCACACTTCAAAAAATTCTTTTAAGGCTATTTGAAGAAAAATTGTACTCGGGATACAGTGTCTATATGGACAATTACAATAACTCTTACGCTGTAGCTGTCAAATTACTAAATCGCTTACTGCACGGGTATTTTAAATAAAAATCGAAAGCTGTTGCATGATGCTGCAATTGTAGCACCAAAACAACTCCAAGTGTAAAGTACCCCTTTGCGTACAGACTTTTTTTAAAGTAATTTTTAAAATGTAATTTAAAAGAAAAAACAATTTAAGTGACTGAAATGGCTTTGAGAAAGTGGCATGCAAATTTAAGAATATAATTATACTAATTTGCAAAATTTTACTTTTTGTCTGTTGCCGAATTTTGTAGTTGATAATGTTCCACTTATGACTTCTTCCGGTCAAATCTACTATCAAAAATTTTTGAGCAGCTCTAGTTTTTTTTTTCACAATACATATTTAATTTTATTTATTTATTTATTAAAACTAAAAACTATCATGACAGGAATAATCTAATGCGACAGTGTAGTTCTTTTTCACCCGAAAAATTATAGACAGTGATGATTCTTCGAGCGGAGAATCATTCGAACCTCAAAACTCATATTTTCGTGATCCTCGTATACTTCAGTCAGCGTCCCGATTCCTGTTTGGGAAAAATAAACATAAAGACCTACACCGAGACCAGCGTCAACTCGTGCACTGAGACATAATATAGTGCATTTTATACCAGGACCAAGAGAGAAAGCCAGAGAAGTTAATAAACCTACACAATACTTGTCCTTTTTTTACTGATGAGATGTTGCAACAAGTTGTTACATTTACAAATGCTGAAATACTTATAAGCAATAATAATTTCATAATAAACAATTTACCAACTCGGTTGCCCTTCGATACTAGAAGATAGGGAACAATTTCAAGGCTTGTATGACTGCAGAGAGATTCAACTTTATTATAAAATACCTTCGTTTTGACGATAAGCAAACTCGAGAAACTAGAAAATTGATCGACAAGTTTGTGCCCATTCGCGAATTGTGGGATAAATTAATCATCAATCAATCGAAAATGACATTATATGACTACCGCTTGTCAGTGATAAGCGCGTTGCAACCAGATAAACATGTCATTACAAATCCAGGACCTATAAAAAGACAAGTTTCTATGCCGCACAAAATCGGTAAGATTACGGAAAGAAATGCAAAAGGAAAATTGAAACGTAAGCAATGCCGCCAATGCACGAAGAAAAACAACGATTTGGCATTGCACTACTTGCATTAAAAACCTGGATTATGTGTCGAATTTTTGAATTATATCATTCTTCCATTTGAAACATTGATAATTTGTTATCGGTATACTATATGTGATTTCATGCAAAAAATTATATTTCAAGCAAAAAATGTTTATTTTTATGGTAGGTTATCTTAATTTTGTTCTAAATAAATAATATTAACACTAAATACCTAACCACGTGCTGGAGCGGGCTTGGCACTGCGTATGGATTTTCCAACCGCAGTGCCGGGCCCGCGCAGGTGCGGGATATCTTTTAATTGTTTTATTTTACGAAAATAACAATTACATGTATTTAATTTTTTTAAAAAAACCTTTTAACTGATGTCTAAGAAGCTGAATAAAAACAAAACAACTTTTCGGCATTTGGCACTCGACCCTCACAATTTGGCTGGCAGCGAAAATAATAAGTGCAACAAAAATGCAATTTGCGGAACCCATAATGTGGACACGTGTAGCAACTGTTCCGAATAATGTCAACGTTAATTATTATTTTTATTACTTGCTGTTTAATGTTTTCATTGAAGCAAA